TGGGCCGTTTCGGTTTGATTCTGACTGCTGTGATGTCCTCAGAATCCCCCACCGGCAAAGCGCCGGGTCCTGGAACATAGGAGCACTCAGGAAACGGGTTGTCATCTGATGCGAGAGCCCATTGTTTTTTCTTTGCCTTTGAACCCTTGGATTTAGGTGTTGAAGTAGTATTTTTTCCCCATAGCAAATCAATACTTTTGACTGGACTGATGACTGTTTAGATGCGTCACAATCTTTTAACATCTGTATGCTAGCAAGAGTTGGAAGTAGGCTTTTTAACATACAGATTCCACTTGTCTCCTTGTCCTCCAGGAAGTAGAAGGTGCGACCCAGCAAGTAAGTTGCAAGAAGGGATCTCTCCCTTGAGGCTGACTTAAGATGCTGCCTCGTGGCACCAGCCAGGAGGGTATTTGGAAACATAGGTGGAGGGGCTGGCTGCGCGGACAAGCTCCTGCCTTTCACAGAACTGAATTTAGATGGTCACATAGCACTTATTTTACCGCAGGGCAGTTTGCGTCTCTGATTTTTCTATCTGCTGAGGAAAAGCTGCTTGCTTTTAAATGAGAGCCTTCTGGTCATAAACAAAGGGAAATAATTATAGTTTAGAAGCAACACTTCAGGGCAGCAGTAAATGAACCCACACAGCAGCAGCTGCTTTTGGGAGCATCTTATCCATAGGTCTATACCATTAACAAATTATTTTCCATAATAAGGAAGAAAATATGCAGCAGGCACGAGAGGAGGAAGAAAGACGTAAAGAAGCAACTGCCCACTTCCAGATTACTTTAAATGAAATCCAGTCACAGCTGGAACAGCATGACGTGCACAATGCCAAACTCCGCCAGGAAAACATCGAACTGGGAGAGAAGCTGAAGAAGCTCATTGAGCAGTACGCACTGAGGGAGGAGGTAAAGGCGTTTTGCTTCTGCAGCTTCTTCTTATTAGCTAGAACTTTTCACCATTCACTACTAAAGAAGTAAAACTATCATCACAGAGTGTTTTAGAACCTCTGTATGTGCGTTGTGGGAAGCGGGCATTTATTAGGAAAGGCTGGGCCACCACGCGAACAGAAGTCTGCTCTGTTCAGACCGTCACTCGACGGCACAGGAGTCAGTGGATTTGGGTACATGAGGCAATTCCTTGGACACATGTTAAGTACTGCTTGTCTTCCATGTGATACTGGAAGATTGTGATTTTAGCATCCAGATTTTTTTCTACTTATCTAGACTAATAACATTTGGCCGCAGAACACCCCATCTCTCAGACTCCTGTGATAATCTGTACAGTCGACACCACCATTGCATGACACCTATATTTCAGATTTTTTTTTTTTATATGGGGGTTTTATACTGTTTGGGAAAAAATACATACCTATTTCTAAACCTTCATACATATACCCATTGAAGTAAAAAGTTTACTTAGAAGGATCCATGGCTGCTGATCTTGGTCATTGGCCTCCAACCAAGACTTTTAAGACTGTGGCATCTTCTGCTGGTTACTTTATCCAGTTTTCAAGACAAAGTTTATATTAATTTGGAGTTTTACATACAACCCTTCAAAAACTGTTTTTGAAATGATTTTGTTTTTATCACTCGTCTGCCTTTTGCCTTTTAAAATTTTTTTTATAATGGAAAATTGCAAACTTAAAAGAGAGAGTATATCACCTGGCTTCAGCAGAAGAAACCATAATTTCAGCTATATTCCTGTTACCTTCCCCTGGGTTCTTTTGAAGCAAATCCAAGGTGTCATATTATTCCACTCATAGATATTTGAGGACATACCTCAAAAAGATATGGATTATTTTTTAAGCATACCCCCAATATCATTTTCACACCTAAAACATTAACAGTAACTATTTAATATTAAATACCTGGTCGTTCCGTCCAGCCCCCTTTTTTAAAAGAGCTTTTTGGCTCACAATTGCAATAGTCTACCCTCCCACCGGTTGACGTGTCTCGGGTCTCTAACGTAAAGATTTCCTTTTCTTTCTCTTATTTAATTCTTACAGTGTATTTATTGAAGAAACTGTTCTAGAGAATAAACTTTCTATTAGATTATAAAGCCCTCAGTTTCGTTACAATTATTCTTTTAGTTTTGTGGTTTAATATGATAGTCCGTCACATCACAGATGTGGAAAATTTGAAAATTGTACGTTTAGATCACATTATTTGTCTTATTTTATGGGATGTTCTCTCTTTGGTCAGGAAGAGTTACTCTTTCTGCATCTGAGAAGGGATGTTCTGATGACTATTGTTTATAAATAACCGCTTAACAATTCCATTTGGGAATAATACCAGCCTTTTACCAAATGTCTGCTGCATGCCCGGTACCCACGCCTTACCTAGTGTAACCACCACATGGGCTTTTATAGCTCCAAGTGTGGGTGCCATCATCCCCCCAGAGGTGGGAGAACTGGGCAGTTCAGCAAGGGGGGAATTGGCCTAGAGCCGTTCCCGCCATCACAGCATGCTGCCTCCAGTTGAGACATTTGGGGAAAAAAATGTCCAGGAATGCTGTGTGGTGTGCAGGTTAACAGTTTGAGCTCCTTATCCATGTCTTTTATCTTGATAACAGTTTGAGCCTCCTTGTCATTGTCGGGCAGAAATAGGAAGTGCAAGCCTGGCTGCCGAGGCGCTTGACAGCCGCCTCCGAAAGGGATGGGGGAGGGCACAGGCTGTAGGGGAGGGCTCTGCTCCCCGGACGCGGGACTGTGACCCACTGTTATTGGCTCTGGTGGCATTAGCGGGAAAAGCAGGGTAAGAGGCAATGCGTTGTAACCCCTGTTACGTTTCCTCGACACTGTGTTCCTTTTTTTGTTAAGTGATAGAAGAAATTTGACTTTTCCCTAGCATATTGATAAAGTGTTCAAGCATAAGGAACTGCAACAGCAGCTCGTGGATGCCAAACTGCAGCAGACGACACAGCTGATAAAAGAAGCTGATGAAAAGCATCAGAGAGAGAGAGAGTTTGTAAGTTCTGTCTCTTAAGGAAATTATTGCCCAACTGTAATCAAAGCCATTTAAAGACATGTAAACTTATTCTACATTTAATGTAGCACCTGTATCGTGATAATTTGTTTTTTGCTCTAGATCGAGACGGGCGCGTGTGTGTTAGAAAGCATTCGGCTTTTTATTTCTATCAGATTTTTTGTATAGAAGATACACTGGCGAGATTAGACCACTGGACTTTTCTGTGCTTAGCATGTTTATTTCACTTTTTAGGTAACAGTCACCAGGTTCAAGAGTTATACCAGCAATTAGCACATTAAATTTGGCAGTTCAGTTTAATATCAAGCTTATTACCAAACACGGGTCTCGTATAATACATTTTGTTTTCAAACAAGTATCTTGAAACTAGGGCAACTATTTATTTACTCATATAATTTTCTGATAATACTTTACCAGAATTTTTTTATGCCCTAATCATTTAGCATTGTTCTCAGAGTGTATGCTGAGATTTGCCTGTCTATAATTGTGAATATAGTAGAATCTCATTGGGTATTTAACACATGCAAATTCAACTATATGTGCTTAACGCTCCCAAAATAATAAAAATGGAAGTGGTTATGATAATGAAAACTGTGCCAGCCAGCTTTCCCTCACAGAGCCTAGGCCCCAAGGTGAGCCTGACGTGACCGTCATGCGAGTGCCCCCAAGGTTAAGAGACACACACTGGTCACACAGCGTGGTTCTGCTGTGTAACTGACAGTGCTGTCTCGTGGTGCATAATTGTCTTTTCCAGAGTTGGAATGTAAATTTCATGCACACACACGCGCGCGCTCACATTACACGTAGATTCTGGTTTGTTTAAGGACTTCTTGAGGCTTATTCGGACTCTGCGTGACACTTTACTTCAGGGACCCAATCCCACAGCTGTGTAATGTCACTGTATTGTTTTCTTGAAAAACCCAAGTATATAAACTAAAGCTCCCATCTCCCTCTCCTCTGCTTTTTAAAAAGTGATCAGAAACCAGATCTCTGGTTTCATTGCTTCGCTCCTTACCCTTTCACCCTGCCTCATCTTGCCTCTGTGGAGTAGAGGGGCTTTCGGAGTCACCCAGAGACTGTCAAGATTCCTAGCCATGTTTTCTGCTAATACTAGACTTCTAATTATTTCCACCTAAAACAAGAGTTTAACCTGGAGTTTTATAAACCTATTATTAGGCTTCCAGGGTACTTTTTCTAAGCTATAAGATTATTCCTACATTCCTAAGTGTTCACAAGTGGAACAGGTCGAAGATACAGGTAACTGGCACTTGATATAACAGTATTTCACCTCCAGACCGGTGGCTCTGCTAAAATAATGGGTGGAAGTAACGATTAAGCTAACTTTAATCTGATCATTTGACAGTTTTCGTCATATTTATAATTGTGATTAGTGTTTTGCCATCATGTTTGTTTTCTAGTTGTTAAAAGAAGCAACAGAATCAAGGCACAAATACGAACAAATGAAACAGCAAGAAGTACAACTAAAACAGCAGGTAACTTGATAGCAGGGGATAGTGGAGTTCGTACGAAAATGTGTGGTTCATTTGATCTATACTTTGAATCTCCCCTAAGATGGTTTTGGTTGCTCCCGGCCAGAACTGAGAATAGCTCGCTCGTCCCTCCTCTTGGAGTTTTCCTCTCCTTGTGGGGTGACCAGCTTATCCCTTTAGCCCAGGATTTTCCTGGCGTTAGCACTCCAAAGCACTGTGTCCCAGGAAACATTTAGATCTCAGGCAGACAGGGACGATTGGTCGCGCTACCTGCAGTGTCCCCTTTCCAATATCCCAGCTATTTCCTCTATCTCAGTCTGTTCCCATGTGTGTCAGCTAATTTCCAACTAAGGAAAAACTGATAAATCTGCAGATTTTAATTCTTTCGTATTAAGCGGAACCGTATGAAATTGCTGGTACTTGACTATTTGACCTACAAAATGGCAGTGTCGTGTAGTTTAACTTAATATCTTTGAAAGTTTGTGCTCTGAGAACATAACCTGTTTTAAAAACTGCCTGTTGGTCACATAGTTCCACTTTCCCGTAGAGCTGTGGAGGTGGTGTTTTTTAATGGGGGCCTTCCCGACTTTTCTTTCTTTCTTTTTTTTTTTTCAAGTGTATGATACAGTATTAACCATGGATAACTGGAAGTTTGTACCCTGTGATCAACATCTCTCCATTTTTTCCACCCCTTGTCTCTGGCAGCCTTCATTCTACTCTCTGTCTCTGAGTTTGACGTTTTAAAATTACACATATGAAAGAATACAGTATTTGTCTTTCTCTGTCTGACTTAATTCACTGAGCATATGACCTAAAGGTCCATCCATGTTGTCACAGTGACAAGATTTCCCTCTTTTTTTTTATGGCTAGATAATAGTCCATTGTGTATATATACCACATTTTCTTCATTCATCTGTCAGTGGACACTTGGGTGGTTTTCTTATTGTGGTTATTGTGAATAGTGCTGCAGTGAACACGGAAGTACAGGTAATCTCTTTAAGATAGTGATTTCATCTCTTTCAGATACATACCCAGGAGTGGGATTGCTGGGTCATATGCTAGTCATATGCTAGTTCTATTGTTAATGTTTTGAGGAACCTCCATACTGGTTTTCATAGTGGCTGCACCGGGTTACATTTCCACCAGCAGTATATGAGGATTCCCTTTTCTCCACATCCTTGCCATCATGTGTTCTTGTTTTTTTTTGCTAACAGCCATTCTGACAGGTGTGAGATGATTTCTCACTGTGATTTCGATTTGCATTTCCCTGCTAATTAGTGATGTCGAGTACGTTTTCATCTACCTGTTGGTCATTTGTGTATCTTTTTATGGAAAAACGTCCATTCAAGTCCTCTGCCCATTTTTAAGAATTTGGATTGTTTGTTTTTTTGCTGCTGAGCTGTGCGAGTTCCTCGATGCAGATATTTTGTCCCATTCCATAGGTTGCCTTTTCACTTCCTTGTTTCTTTTGCTTGGGCAGAAGCTTTTTAGTTCGATATGACTGTACTTGATTTTTGCTTTTGCTGCTGGTGTTTTTGGTGTCACCCCAGAAAATCATTGCCAAGACCACTGTCAGGGAGCTTTTTACCTATGTTTTCTTCTAGAAGTTTTATAGTTTCAGCTCTTAATGTTTAAGTCCTTAATCCATTTCAAGTAAATTTTTATGAGTAGTGTAAGATAGGGGTCCAATTTCATTCTTCTGCTTGTAGTCCATTTTCCCCAGCACCATTTATTGAAGAGGCAGTTCTTTCCCCATTGAGTATTTTTGGCTCCCTCGTTTAAATATTAGTTGACCATATTTGTGTAGGTTTATTTCTTGGCTCTCAATTCTGTTCCACTGATGTGTGTCTCTGTTTTTATGCCAGTAGTATACTGTTTTTGATTACTTTAGCTTTGTAGTATATTTCGAAATCAGAGAGCATAAATGCCTCCAGCTTTGTTCTTTTTCAAGATTGCTTTGTCTATCCGGATTCTATTGTGGTTCCGTACAAATTTTAAGGTTTTTTTTTTCTATTTCTGTGAAAAATGTTGCTGGAATTTTGATAGGGATTGCACTGAATATATAGATGGCTTTGGGGAGTGTGGACATTCTAATAGTAACTTCCGATACATGGACACAAGATACCACTTATTTGTGTCTTCACTCTCTTCATCAGTGCCTCATAGTTTTCAGTATATAGATCTTTCAGATTTTTTGGTCAAATTTATTCCTAAGTATTTTGATGCTATTATAAATAGGGTTGTTTTCTTTAATTCTTTTCCAGACATTTCACTGTTAGCATATAGAAATGTAACTGATTTCTGTATGTTGATTTTGTATCCTGAAACAACTGAATTTGTTCTAACCATGTTTTGGTGGCATCTTTGAACTTTCTGTAAGATTATGTCATTAGCAAACAGATCATTTTACTTCTTCCTTTCTGATTTTGGGTGCCTTTTATTTCTTTTTCTTGCCTAATTCCAGTACTGTGTTGAATAGCAGTGGTGACACTGGGTACCCTTGCCTTGTTCCTGATCTTATGGACAGGGGAAATGAGGCGCGTGCACCTCCAATTCACCCTCTTTCAGTTAACTAGATTGCATTGTATCGATAAAAGTATTGATCATGTAAAAAATTTATTATATGATCAGTTTAAGGACTCTAAATTAGTTCTAAAATGCACCGTCACCTTGAGGTTGGCCTGGACCTTTGTGAGTACCTCTTTGGAGTGCATTTCATCTCTGGGCACATTTTACATGGCGGCGATACTTATTTCCACAAAGCTAGCGTGACTTAAGAGTGAACATCCAAGAAGTCTTTTGAATTTTCCACAATAAGTTATGATCATGCCAGAATGCTTCTAGGAGGTTCGAACCCCTCATTAGCCCTATAAATTCAGTTGTCCATAAAAATGGAGAAGAGAATCTATGGGGAAAAGGTTTAAAAAGTTTATACATGGCCTCGGAAGATGGAAAATGGACTTGAATGCTGGTGTCACTGCCAACACTCTAGTGCAAGGAAGCAGAGGGTTCGGTGTCTGACCTGCGTCACCCTGGGTCATGTTATGCAATCGTTTGTTTGTTGTCTTTGCTGCACCTCTTCCTTTTCCCAGTCCCTAAACACGGCTGTCCTTCCCAAGAGTCAGTCTCACTCTGTGCTCTTACCACGGCAGGTGCCAGCATTTGATGATGGCCTTCCAGTCTTGGTGTGTCTTGGCTCAGCGCTTTGTAATCCAGCTATATAGGTCCCGCCGTGGTGCTGGTTCCCACCCACCGACTGCCCAGTACGGGCCAGCAGTGGATTCCCCAAAGGGACAGTGAGATGTTCCATCTTCAGTGAAAAGAGCCCCTGCGAAAGCTGCCGTAACGTCTCGTCACCCTCACGCGCCAGAGCTGCCCCCCTATCCTTTCTGAGCACCGCTATCGTTCCCACCCCCAGGCCAGCAGCCTTAAAGGCACCGTCAGAGTGTGCCCCTTTACAGACTGCTCATGCGTCCTCGGCACCCTCTGTAGTTTGCACCCGAGGTTTCGTTCGTCCTCACCCTTACCTTTCCGCAGGCATGCTTTGGCCATTTTACAGCCACCTTGTCTAGCCTGTTGTCGCTTTCAGTCTCCTTCTCCCTCCCACGTACAGAAGTTTGCTTCTCAGTGCTCTCCATGCAGCCCATCCCCCTGGTAACCGGTGGGCTGCTTCCGGCATATCCCGTCATGCTCCTGCCCCATCCTGGTCACATGCTTCTGTGTGATGTTCTTCATGCAGCGCTGCTGAAAGTGGAAAGGCATCGCTTATGCTATTTGTTGGCCTCTAATCTTTTATTCTTTGCTTTCCTTATATGTATTACATGATCTTCAGCAAAACACTTTTATTGCCCTGGGCCTGTTTCCTCATCCCCAAAATAATGTAGTCTCATTAGATGGGCTCTAAAGGTTCTCTTCTGGTGTAAAATAACAGCCTACTCTGGAGGCGGCCACGTGAAATGTTCCCCAACTATTCTCTTCTCACCCCTGCTGTGCCCCGCTCCCTTCTCTGAACTCCTGTTGTAGGGGGAGAAAAAGGTGACTCCATATTCTGTATTCTGCTCGGCTTGTCAGCGTTCTTTTCCCAGCTAGAATAAAAATTCCGTGAGGGTGGGAGTTAAAAATCAGTGTTTCCGTGTTGTTGTTATTTTAGAGTCAAAAGGAAAGTTTGTTAGAGCAGGGGTCACACTCCGCAGACGGAGTGAGAAGGCAGAGTGAGAAGGACCAGTTGGTTGGTTGTTTTTTTTTTCACTTACCTGTACTCCCACTGAATTTTTTCTCCCTCAACCAAACCAATTCTTCAGCTTCTGTTCATTTTCCTGCCTGCGTTAAGGAAAAAGATATCCCTGATACCAAGCTAAGAACTGTGCAGGTGGCATTCTAAAAGAAATGATCTATATCCAAGGACAGTTTTTCAAATAGAAGGATGGAGGGGAGGTTAGTTCATAAAGGATTAATTGTATGAAATTTATAGGTATACCAAATCTTTCCGTTTTTATTATAATTGATGGAATGGAGCTAGTAAATATTTGTGCATTTTAAACAGTACGTCCGAAAAGATGGTTAAGTCAACAGAATTTAAATTTCAGTGAGTTATTAGAACTTCAGTCATCTATGTCTGGTGTCCAAGGATTCAGTATGTACGTATTCTTATTTCTTTCATTTATATGACAAGTAACATTTAATGATAGTGGGTTTTTTTTTTGAAAGTCTTTGGGATTTTAAATCATTTATCTGGAACTCAGAATATTTTATACTTTTTTTCTGTAGCTTTCTCTTTATATGGATAAGTTTGAAGAATTCCAGACAACCATGGCAAAAAGCAATGAATTGTTTACAACCTTCCGGCAGGAAATGGAAAAGGTATTGGCATATTTTTAGTAGACTATTACTTAAAAGGTAATTTACATAAGCAGCTATTTTAAGCATGATCACTAGGATGAGTTTATGTTGTTATGGTACTGTCTTAATGTCATCTTTTCTGATCCTCCAGTGACATCATATATGGTCATTTTGCCCTCAGTGTACCGCACGTAGCTGGTGTTCTCTGTGCTCTTAAAATTCTATCTTTATTAAAGTGAATTCCTCTATTAAATACAATGTTATTAGAAATAAAGTGGTTTCTTTTTGTTTGTTGTGTGTTTTGTTTTATTCACGTCAGGTGATACCCCACACCTTGGAGATTAAATTATTTAAACACATCCAACCTATATTACATATTTCGGTTGGTTGATATGTATATACTGGTGTTTCTGCCTTTTTAGCTTTTCTTTTTCTCTTTACAGCACTCCCACTGAATTCTTTCCCCCTCAACCAAACTGAGTTTTTGGCTTCTATTTCATTTTCCTGCTTGCGTTAAGGAAAGAGATACTCTTGATATCAAGCTGAGAACCAAAATATATTCATATATATCCATCCATCCATCCTTAGTTTGGCATATTACCTTTAAAATGGGGGCTTTTTAAAAATGGTGGGGTGGGGAGAAATACAGCACTGCCTGGCACTTGGTAAGCAAGCATTTAAGAGGCGTCAATCATGACCATTAGTAGATCTCACGTAGCGGTTGGGAGCGTATACTCCAGGTTAATGTCCCAGTTGCATCATATAATGTGTGACCATTGACAAGTTGTTTAACCTTTCCGTGCCTTTCTATTTGTCCCTTGTTAAAAATAACAAAAATACCTACCCTTCATAAAGTATTTTAGACAGTGCTTGGCCATGTTAAGTACTCAAATTACCACCTTCAGATATTTTTAGGCCCAGTAATCTGGAGAATTCAATGAGCAGCAGATTAGTTATGCCTGCCAGCCCTTTCAGCCGAGGCTGCAGTCCAGAGGCAGCGCGAACGCCTTGGCTGGGCTCCATCACAAGTGTGCTTTTGAGGCCGAACGGGGTTTAAGACAGGGTCTCCCCAATTCATTAGCCTTCTGGAGAATCCTCTGGATTGGAACACATTCCTCTCTGCCAGTGGCTAGAGATCCCTGTAGGTCAGTACTGAACTCGGGTTTTCCACGCACCTTTGCACGGCCTTTGTCCCACTCAGCGGCCTTGTGGCACAGTTCTGTAGGTGGTTACCCACGGCACAGGGCACTGGCTCTGTCTTATCCTGTTTCCCTTCCCAGCGCCTGGCTCGGTGCCCCGACTGACATCAGAGCTGGGGCACAGTCAAGTGCATAAAGGAACCCTAGAAACTGGGCTCACTGATGGGCATAGATTCGTCTCATTCTGAATCTCTGAGAACAGTTCTTGTAGCATAGGCTTTAATGTTCCTTTTATTTTTGGTCCCATTTTATCATTAGCAGAATCAGAAGCTAATGTGAGGGTGACCAAAACTGAGGATTTTCTACTTTTATCTTTTTCATGATTACTGGAGGCTTAACTAAATTATGCTGCCTCTACTTCTGAACCTTATGTGGTCTCAGAGGTTGTGGTAGAACAATTCTAATCTTTGGGGGGCTGAAGACCTCTATCCTTCCAAGGATCAGATGAATTAGTTTACCTAATGCAGACAGAAAACTCACGAACATTGCCATTTTTTCGTACAACTTGGGGAGGAGGTCTCGTCTCCTGTTACCCCCAGCTGGAATGCAAGACACGCTCCGGCTTAACCGAATTCAGCGTGGCGTCTTGACAGCTTCCACATGTGTGCCGCTGCCTCAGAAATTGAGATTAGAGATTAGATTTGTTTTCCTCATAATATGAAACCCTGCTTCAGTTCCTAGGGGCTTCGGAGATAAGCTCTGCTACCAACAGACAGGCGCAGCTGTCAGCTGGGCCAGGCAGGTGCAGTGACGGGGGTGGGGAGGAACACAGGCGTTTTTGTGGTGGGACAGGGTGGAACATAATGGAACTGAGTTTAAATTTGCAATTGTGTTGATTCACAGATGACAAAGAAAATTAAAAAACTGGAAAAAGAAACAATAATATGGCGTACCAAATGGGAAAACAATAACAAAGCACTTCTGCAAATGGCTGAAGAGGTGAGGTGGTTTCTCACTACTAAGGCATGTTCTTAGTCATGGAGACTCATGAGGTTCAGGTACCTAGCAGGACAAGGGACACGTGTCGTGACACTAGTGCGGTAGTTGAGGACTCTGGCCAGAGCTAGGGGCAGGGGGCCCGCCGAGAAGAACCTGTATCGGCTTTGCTGGCAGCAAGTTGCGCTGCACGCGTGGCCCGGGAGAGGTGGTAAGTGTCCTGCTTGCAGTGAAGTCGCCTGGGCTGGGGGCGGGAGGTTGCTGTAAAGCATCTCGGTTTTGCTTTCATCTACAGCAGTGGTGTTTCAAACTCGAGCTTGCCTCAAACTCCGGTTTGTTCAGTAAGACCCAGGTTGCTAGGCTCCACTTACCATTCACTAGGTCCGAGATAGAGTCAGAATCTGCCCTCCCTGTTGGTGATGCTGCAGGTGCGGGCTCCCACCTGCAGCACCCATCAGCTTTCCCAGTGAGAACGCTGGTGAACACTCAGGCACCTTTCTGCCTTATAAAGCTGAAATGTACTGTTTACAAACAAGATTTCACACCTTCATTATCTAAAAATTGGTAGAAATCTATGCACAATCAAGATGTGTCCTTTTCTCATTAATCAGGCCCTTAGTTCTTTATCTGCTAGTCTTTGTGATGACTATCTTGGGTTTCCTTAATATTTCATCAATACAAAATGTTATAAAAAGCAGGTTTGGGTTATTTTTAAGAAACACAGCAAAGGGGATTTGTCACCCTAGAACAATAGTGTCCCAAGTGTGGTATTCGTACACCGATCTGCAGTGAAACTAGAGTGTTGGGTGGTGAAGAAATTGAACACGTTCAAGAGGTGACTGAACAAGGTGTTTCCAATATGGCTCAGATAACTTAATTTTTTGATACCTAGGAACCTGATTCATATTCAACGAGGTTACATAAATCCTGTTTTTTTCTTACAGAAAACTGTCCGTGATAAAGAGTACAAGGCCTTTCAGATAAAGCTTGACCGGTTAGAGAAGCTGTGCAGGGCTCTTCAGACAGAGAGAAATGAGCTCAACGAGAAGGTGGCAGTCCTCAAGGAGCAGGTCTTGGGGAAGGTGGCAGGTGTGGGTCTGGCACCGCGTGAGACACAGCCCTGTGCCACCCTGGCTTCTCCCCGGGAGCCGAACACTGCCTCGAACAGTGGCCCACGTGTCCCCGCAGGGTCCTTGCCCAAGGCAGCAGCGAAGGAAAAGCCAGCTGTGTACAAGGCCGCGTACCCAGGCGCTGGGCCGGCCATCGAGTCAGTGGACTGAGATGAAGTATGATCACTGTATCGAGAGTTCTATTTTGTGTATAACTTTCTCTGTTAGTAGTTAACTATTGGTTTTGTGGTGAAAATTTTCTTACTTTTTCTACCATATCTGTATTTTCTTAGAACTACTGGACTTAAGTGGTACAGGAGGCTGCTTAGCAGTTTTGAATAGTTTTACTCAACATTTTCCTCAGCTGTGTGGCACATCTGCCTCACTTCCCTTCATTGGAATGCATGTGGTCACTGCCTTGTCCTTTCTTCCCTGCTCCTTGCAGAATCATCCTAATTAAAATTTAACTCAAAACAGGGCTGACCATTACAAGGGAACTTTGTTCTGATGTGAAAACAATATTCATTTAAACATCCTGCCCCCATCAATATTAATCACACAAAAAAGTATCGAGATGTTTAGTTTTGTCTAATAGCCCATTTAAATGCCAAGTAATAAACCGGGTTGGATCAGAAACAAACAGCATATTTGATTCAAGTTTCTTGGTAATATATCACTGCACAAATTGAGATGGCCACAAGCCTCAAATTCTTCATTTTGGCAGAATGTGTACATAAAGGTATCACTTGCAAACATACATACAGGTAAATCACTGGACAACAGGCTTAATATTTGTGTGACTGACAAGTCATACTGCTTTGGTTTCAGGTTAGAACCAGTGGAATTTGGACCACCCGGATGCTTACTGAGGGTAGGGTGGTTTGTTTGCTTTCCATTTGGGACTTGGATACACATCTTCCACTTCCCACTGAAAGCAGTCACTGGTAGTCCTTTGCCAGGTTAAGACAATGAGGGTGAATTCCTGTGTAGCTGTCACCAAGGAAACATCCCCAAACTGCCCCTTTGGCTGCTTGAAATTGGTGTTGGACTGTTATGGGAGTCCCACCAGCAAGGTTCTCTAGGTATTTTAAGGGAAAATTTTAAACTATGGCTCATACCAACCGAAACTGGTTTCATTTCCAAAACATTGGAGAAGACTGGAACCAACCTCTTTAACATTAGGCAAACTTAGCAGAGTGTTAAGTAGTCAGGATCTTTTACATACGCTTTCAGTCTGTTTCTCACCCTTCTCTTAGTTGCCATTTTTTAAAGTATTATCAAAGTCTCCAGACTTGAAATGGGGGAACTTTCAAAATTAAACACATCACCCCTTTGGATTAACTTTTTCATCCTGCGGTCTCAAATGTGACTAAGTTACGCAAATAAGCTGCAGTGAAGAAAGTTTTGACTTTGTCCCTAGTATAATTTGCATTGAAATACTTTATGAAATAACTGATGTTAGCACATTCCACTGAGCAAAACCGTCAAACTGACATGTCTTAAATTGCTTACTGGACTGAATAAACTGTTCTGTCCAGTTAAAAGGGTTTTTTCTCTTTGTTAAAGTTTTATTTGTAAAGTCCTGTCACATTCATGGTCTAAACTGGGTTGAAAGAATTGAAAATTGTCCAGTAGATAGGAAACAGCGCCTAGAGTGGAGGATTATATCTAAGCTTCTACCATCAGTCATGTACATCAAGGGGCCAGACAGTGGAGAAGAAATCCACTAAGTAGGTTATCTAATCACTGTCAAAAGAGTCGAAAGCAGAAACAAACATACCCTCCCGCCAACAGCCTCTTATACACAGACCCCTCCCTTCAGCTACTAAATGAAACATTAGACTCATTTTCCTAAGAGGAAGTGAAGGTATACATCAGAACTATCTATTTTAAAAACAGTACTAATGATCACATTTCACAAGAATTCCACTGGATGTACAGCTCTTAACATTTTAAGCCATTTGTGTAGCCCGCCACATCTTTGCGGTGCTTGTGCTGTGTGGGAGATTGTAAATCTTGGACCTGTTGCCTATTTCCAAGGGCTTTATAAAGCAATGTGATTAACAGTACTTGGCCTGCTGCTTTTGGCTTACTATGTATTTTGAGCTAGATGCTATCATGGTGTTTAAAGGATATGGATTCTGTCTGGGATGTGTTTGGTGTCCTTTCAGAATCTGTCCTCCTATTATCCTGTGAATAAAAACAAATGGGACCCTCTGGACACCCTCTTAAAGCAATCACCTCACCAGCCCAGTGTTGTGGCTTTTAGCACACCCTGTTCTATCTTCCATATTCTAGAACACTGTAATGCTACTAGACTGGCCCAGAAAAGGTTTAAATGTCGATTTCTCTTCAATAGCATTTGTTGCACCGTCATGGAATCTTGATGTGTTATTTATAGTGGCAGTAGACTCCAAGGAATAGAGAAAACTTGGGTCTTGGATAATGGACCATTTCATCCTCAGACTTGTAGGAGTACATTTCTTGGTCTTGAGACCAGTTATTTTTTAGTTATGTATGCAACTGCCTTTATTACACCTGGTTATCAATTCAGTTCTCAGGTGTTGCAGAAAAATCTACCTCTTTCAGACTGTAGATGGAAATAACTGTGAAAAAAATGATGCAGATTATCTTCTAGTTTGTGCTAAAACACACTGCTTTATTTTTACAGCCCACGTCTTTCATGAGGATACGAATTGTTAAGAGGCAGTCTTGTTTTGCTTTTCAAAGACATTTTGTAGAGATTTTTCACTAATGTGAATCTGATTTTATCTACTCGATTCTGTATAGATTAAGTAAACATGTATGACGAATTTAACGGCTTCTGTGTATTCTGTTGCCCACGTGACCTTAATTGTGTAAATCAAAAGACAGTTATGGATAGTTGGTTTCTCAGACTTTAAATAGTAGTTTAGTTAGTTATTGCAGTATAATAAGGAATGGAGCACTGTCCACCCTCTGGGTAGCCGAAAACTCATTTTACGTAGCCCGATCACTGTTAGACGACTAGAAAAATGCCCAGCATACCTGCTGTCGACACTTTAAAAAGCTACAAGAACTATGGATTTCTCCAGTCTTGGCTGCTCTTAGCACATTCCAGGGTGTACCTATTTGAATAGCAGGAGAATAAGTATATATACATATGTATGTTATATATACACAAACACATACGAAAGATCTTATGATGAGCAAAAAAATAACACAATCACATATAAGAGGGGTCGGCAAACCGTTTCTCTTAAGTCAGGTCTATTAAAAGTATTTTAGGTTTAGTAGGCTACGCAAAAATCCTTGTTGCATATCTTTTTTGTTTCTATTTCTATATAAACCACCTTTTAAAAATAAATATGAAAACCATTCCTACCTGGCAGGCCCTACAAAATAGGTTGAGGGGCCAACCTGCAGGCTGGTTTTGTCCCCTCTGCTGAGCCCTGTCATGTAAGCAAACAAGCTTTTATTCTTTTGCGGGAAGAAATCTAGTTTGTTTCAAACTGCCCAAGTTAAGGCACAAACAGATATGGGTCAAATGACATGAAAGTTAAGGTAGTTCTAGGTTTACAAATGTACCACCACAAAAGAGATGCCGAACTTCTCACCTTTGGATTTAGGGTACCGTCATGTAACCTGGAAAGAAAGTCAGTAAGTTCTCATATGGGTACATAACAGCTCCCTCACAAGAGAAATGTGCGCGCGTGCGCATGAAAACACACTTCAACTAAATAAAGGGACAGACACACATATCCCTACCCAGGTTCTAAAAGAATAAAACAAAATTTATTTTAAAACTTTATTTCTGCAAAGCCAATCAAGAAGTATTGGAGGGAAAAAGTGTAAAAGTTATCCTTGCATATTCAGGAACAGCAAGCACTTAGTTTGAGAAAACCAGGACTTAAAATAGTTGAATCAAAGGCAGTACCCTGCTACTTGTATTTTAAAACAACTGTGTTCGTTCTTAAGCAACATTAATTTCTTCCCTAAAAGCTACAATATGATACAGTACGCAATAGCTCACTTGAAAGTGCTAGAATCAGAAGGTAAAGAGAAAATGCCATATGCCAGCCCACTTAACATTTACTACTATACAATGCTTTTTTGGTGCTTGATAAACCAAGCATTCATGTTAGCATTACATTCAACAAAAACATTTCTCATACTTTGGGTTTAAGATCCTTGCCCCTCCAGTTCCGATGTTGTGACATCTGACTCTTCATCATTGTAAATATTTTCAGCCTGGAGATAACAACCAAATAAATTCATAGGTAAAATTCTCCCACGGTTTTTACATGACCTAAAAATAGCATTTATTCTGTCTATCCAGATTTTTGGATTCATGGGTCAATGTGTTTCAGTGTTGAAAATTAAATGCGAACACATTTTTAGAGTACTTAGTAATTTCTTTTTTGTGTTTTTCCCCCAAAGGCTTTAATAAATTTAATGGGGAGAAGTAGGCAGGCCAGTGTTCTCAAATTATTCGCCAGTGTATATTTCTACATATATAACCAGCTGCCCATGAAGTATGTTTCAATTATTGTTCATAAAAGGTGTTTCCCAAAAGCATTTCAAACATCACTTAGAGGCAGCCATGGCCCTGAGGTTGATGAAAAGGTTTAACAACTCAATCCCTTAGAGATGTCACGTACTTAGTGCTCATCATCGGAGAACGCACTAGCATGTGAAGGTGTTGACACTTTCCTCCTATACTGTTCATGCCTACGACACAGCAGACACCAGATAGAGAGCAGCGACGCCAAGAGCCCAGTTGATGCAGAGCACAATCATGAAAATCAGCACATGCTATGTCTACATTTGTGTTTATACAGACACGTACAGAGAGATTTCTTCTGACCCGACAGGCGAATATTGAACTAAAGACTCATTAGAATGGAAAATGTTTTGGAAGGTTGTTTCCTTTCTATAAATATTTGGTGTAATAAGCACGTTTGAAATATTTCTATTATATTATGTCGTTAGTAAATCTCTCCAAGATAGTCATTTAGGAAAAAAATATTTTAGCTCACCATTTGCCAAATCTGCATGATGTTATCCTCAGACACCGAGCAAATGACCCAAGGCTCATTGGGGTTCCAACTAAAATCTGATATCTTGGCGGTGTGTCCTCCATGAATAAACTGTTAAAAACAACAACAACAAAAAGCCTCGGTTTCATATCTTATGTTAAAAGTTAGGTTTTAGAGCATCAGTCTTGCAATGGCGGTGGGTGGGGGGCTGCTGCTCTGCAGTTTGGAGGGAAGGCCGGATAGGCGCAGTATGCCACCCACATAAACTCTCCAGGAACCCAGCAGATGCCCAGATGATTTGATCAGGAACAGGAGGGAAATGTGGGCACCGGCATCAAGATCCAGGAAGTTTAGTTTCTGGGAATGGAACTGAAAAATCCAGTCATTAAAATTTTTCCATACTCTCAGAAAGTGTTAAGTGTTGCTAATTGAATCCTTGCACCTGTTCCCCTCCCCACCAAAACTTCTCAGAAATATAACAACTGAAATCAGTGAGAAATTACGCTATTCCAGGAGCTCAAATTATTCTTAATGAAACACTGGTAAAAACTTACTGGGCTCCAGTTCCTATTTTCAGTAAATGTCGAACCCCAATCACAATAACCTCCAAGACCTCCAATTTGAAATCATGGAGCTAGAATTTGAAGTTCTGACTCATTTTCCATATACATGGATCAATGACAGAATCCAATCTACATCTGACATTTCATCTTGCATAAGAAAGCCAACATATACCAGGAGTTCAGGAGGCCCATCTTCTGCATCTTCCGCTGATTGTTCTTCTCCGATTTTGCTATTAAGAAAGAACATAACGTTTTCATTATTGGAATTCTTACAGCGTGATTGTTTGCAGAACCAGAAAGCACATAATGTAAAAACAACACATTTCTATACTGCTATCGATTAGTTTTTTATATTAGTTGATGGGAGGGTGGGGTGTTTACTTTCTGGAAATGGGTAGAGCTGTTCATAACTGAAGCTGTACGATAGAAATTGTTAATAAATATTAAAATTCATTCAGTATTTCCACTGTGGTGTTTACTGCAGTAGATTTAAAAGGTGAAAAGTATCTAAAATATCTACAGGAAACTGATGCCTAGCCGCCATACTTCATTCTTAAAGCTTTTTTCAGTCCGGAAGGAAGATACAGATCTAAAGATATGACAACAGAACTTTATGGAATGCATAAACCAAGGAAAGGTTAAGTTTTTTCCCCCGCTTCTCTTAAAAAATTCAATTTGTAGACTCTGCCTGCAGTCCCAATAGTGAAGTCACTCAAAGTACACAGACCACTTACCAGCCCTATCTGCTATCTAGCCCAAAGGCAGACTCTGCTAGATAACTGCTGGGAAAAACCAGTCAAAGCAATCAACCTTCTAAGTGGTAGTCTTTTTTCCCTTCCCATAAAACCAACCAAACCAAACCTGTGGGACTGCTAGACAATTATGTGTCTCCTCCCTGTCAGGCGCATAATTGTGAATACTGACCATTTTAACCTGTAATTTTGTCTAATGTCATTTTAACAGTAAGCAAGTCTTCACTGAATTTTAAGAATTATACAATGCCTGCAAATTTATTATTGGCACCTTTAGGGACAATGCAATTGCCAGGGCCATCAGCCTTCCAAACCTTGTTGTACCACCTCATACGACCACTACATACTTTTGCTTTAGGTTTCTAGTTTTACTACCAAAACTTTCCAACTAGAATATACTCAAATACACGCTTGAAAGATTCTCTACATTCTCAAGCATCTATTGTGGCCAGTTTGTTTGTTTCATGAGAATGCGAAACATTAGATGTTTTAAAGTTTTACAAGCATTATATTCTGCACTATTTCAGTTCCATACACTGAAAGATGGAGCTACTATCTGTAATTAAGGGCAGCCTTGGTTTTAATACACTAAAAACTTAGTCTACATCAAAGCAATACATTTACTACAGGTAGGAAAAATTATTCTTTGGTAATTTAATGATTTAAACTCAAGATAACGACATTTTATGGGGAAGAATATACTGAGCAACTTTATTAACGGCTCTAAAGACTCAGACTAAAAAAGAAAAAGGAGTCTGAAATGGCAACTCTGAAGTCAAGGAACCCAAAGAACTGGGAGAAACTCTTTAAACAGTGAGCCCCATGACAGTTCTCTGACAGCACGGGCTGTGCTTACCCTGTTCCCACAGGCACACCCCACAGCAGGAGCTCATCTGTGAATGAATCAAAGCTCAGAAAAGCAAATGGTAGAAAAATCCAGAAAGACTCGTCCTGCAGGTGTACGTGAGACCCAATGAGCCCCGACTAGCTCATGACATTTTTACCCCTTTCTATAGCAGAAGTGTTTTCAATCATCTGGATGTTAAAACACAAACGTGCCCTTCTCCCAACTTCATGCCTGAATATTGATAGAAAAATGAAACACTGCATAAATTTTACAGTCCATTTACTGATTCACACCTATTTTATGGAACAAAGACTCTTCAGCAAAGTACTTAAAAGTTACTTTAATATTAGACTTATCAAACTGGGGTTAGTAAATTGCTCTTCTAAATTTATGAATTACATAATTTGCCAGATTACCATATTTATGCAGTTTCTTATCACCAGATTCTGAATTACCTTAAATCCCACACATTCAGGCGGCGATCAGTACCACTTGAAGCCAGAATAGTTTCGTTATGTGGAGACCAGTGGACCTAGCAATACATATTTAAAAATGTAAAGAATCATCCATCTTTAGGCTTGTGGCTACCATCCTAACCCCTAATATTTTCCCATTGCGTGTCCTGTAGCCTCT